TTTTGGATGAAGAACTTTACAGCCAACTTTGATTCACGCGTTAAAACCTATGAGAAAATTAATGATACTCAATATATTGTTGAAACGGAAATTGAAGAAAAAGAGATTACTACCGAAGACAGTAAATCTAAACGACTAACACCTAGTCATTTGGGATCATTCGTTTTATCTCACAGTAAAAAAATAATGAACAATTTCATTCACGTCATAAATGGATTTTATAAACCCGAAATATACTATACCGACACCGATAGTTTGTACATTTCATCCAAAAATTGGAAAAAACTAAACAGAGCTGGTTTGGTCTCCGAAAAAGACTATTGCAAAGGTAAAAACGATTACGGTGACGGTGGAATTATATGTGGTTTATATTTAGCACCAAAAGTCAAATACAACATCGTTTTGACTTCTGATGGTGTTTTAAAAGAAAAGAAAACGTTTAAAGGTTATTCTAATGATAAGATAAGTGTAGAAGATTACGTTCAGTTAGCAAGCGGACATGATGTGTCGAACGAATTTAATAAACCATGGGAAAAAAGTTTCACTAATGGAGTAGTTATTCCAAATGATAAACAAACTAAAGTTTTTAGAAGTTATTTGAATAATGTTAAAAGAAAACCACCAAACAGTGAAGGAATTATGTATCCTTACAACGACAAAGATGAGTATAGTTTTGACGAAAACTATGAATTTGATGATTTCGATTATCTTTCTAATCAAGAAGAGAATGAAGATTGTTTTAAATGAATTTGAATGACAATTTCTTCGTTGCCAAAGTCTATGAACCTGTTTTTACCGTCTTTGATTTCCAGATTTATATCTTTGATCATGAAAGAATTGACTGGTAAATAGGTCGTTTGAAACGGTTTCTCTATAATTCTGTATCCGATCGGCACCGTAAAAGTCGGTATGCTGTATATGATTTGGCGTTTGTGCTTGTTGAAAAATCCACCGTTGATCAAATTACAGTGAATGTTGATCACGTCGATGTCGTTCTCGATGTTGGCCTTGTGCGGAGCCAATGTCGATTGCGCGTATATTCGTTTATCGAACCCTAGTAACGCATTCAACGAATTTTCTACGTTGAAATCGACTTGACTGTTATTTCTCAAGATCAGTTTTATTTTGTTCAGATTCAAATTACCTTCGAATTCGATATTGTTTTTGCCGTTCACGCTTCCTGCGTATTCGGATAGGTATTCGTTGATGGCTACGTATTCGTAGCTCCCCGGTAGTAAGTTTATGGTTTCGAACGTAACTCCGTTATCCGTCGATATTTTTAGTCGATTGTTTTTTTCGTTGATGTTTCTAATGGAATTGTAAACGGAGAAATACTTTAATCCCAGTTCGTACTGTTTATTGCGATCGATAGTTCATACTCGTAGTCTAGAGACAATTTGATGTCTGGTTTATTCGAGGTGATAACGAACAATTGTTCTTTATTGGACATTTTTAATGACGTTTATATAGTCTTTTGTAGTGATGATTTCTTTCTCCAAAAGTCGTTTTAATATGGCATTGACTTCGTTGAATTGTCTGTCCGATCGATGACCTTCTTTCATGGCCGCTAATATTATTTCTAATCTATTAAGTAATTCTTTATTGTCGTCGGATAAAAACGTTATACCTTGTCCAGATGCCACCATATCATCGAATTCGTCTATTTCTTGTATGATTGGTGGATAATCTTCTGCATAATCGTCTGATTTCTCTTCCTCAATAACTCTTAACAGTTTGATTCTTTGCGCTACGCAGTCGTCAAACAATATTAAGTTCTTTCGATTGCTATCAATATTAGACAAGTCTAGATCATTAACATTTTTCGTCAGAAAAACTTTTATATCCGTTGGATTGAAAGATGGATTCTTTGATTTAATGAAGTTTTCTATGATATCTTTTATTTCCACTTCTTCTTCGTTTTCTTCGTAATATTGAAATATGTCTTGAACGTCTTTCTTTGGTAAATATTCCAAAGCTTTGAGGAATTGATAATACGATTGCTCTGGTGTTGTTGTGTAGATATACAGAGAATCGAAATCTAAAAGGTTTGGTGTTGTCAACATGTTAAAAGTGAGATGAGTTTTCCCAGAACCTGAACTACCGCATATACACATGAGCATTGGGTTATTAGGAAATATTTCCGAATGATTAAATTTCTTGCCCATTTTTATTTATTACATTTTCGTACCAAAAATCACCCCGTTGCCTTTATACTTTGAAAGGAAGATTCCCTCGCCCGAACGTATGTTTTTAAAAAATATGTCGACACCCTTGTGTTTGACCTTCATTTCTCCGGTGTCGATTTTATCTATTAATTTGCTTAATCCCTCTTTAACGGTTTTCTTGGTTTCTTCGCCAAATCTTTGTCCGAATTCTTTAACCGTCCCTAATATATCTCCTATTCCCGAACCACCTCGTGCTTCTCTTTCCATTGCCAAATTGTGTCTACGTTCTTCAGCTTCTTTTACTGCAGCTGCTTTATTTGCGTTGGCAGCTTTGACTGCGGCAGATATTCCTCCAGTAGCTGCACCAGCTGCAGTTAAATCAGCAAAGATTAAAGGTAAGAAAGGTAAAAATCCACCTTTTTTAGTTAAATTCTCATCAATTCTTTCCAAGTCTATATCGTCTCTGACTTTGCAATGTTTGTATTTATCGATAATCTTTTGGGTTATATGCACTTTTTTACCGTTGTAAGTTATTAGAGTCGGCGAATTCGTTTCCATAGCTTCTATTATTTTCATAACTAAAGTTTCTGGTTTCATTTTTAAAGGGTGTTTTTTTATTCAATTCTTATCATTCTTCTATCTGATATTTTAATCAAATGTTTTGCTTCTTCCAGCAATAAACAGTAACCGGTCACATCTCCTTGTGTTTTATCGATGTGAATATTTATGTTCACCCCTGTTTTGAAAAGATCTTCTTGATGAGCTGACAGATCGAAACAAAAGATTGGATGATTGAGTGAAAAATCTGTGTATTCAAACTGAGGCGTATTTCCAAACAATTCGCACATGTTTTTATAGTTTCTGTACAATTCGTTGTAATTTTTTTTGGAAGGATCAATTGTCAAAGGTTGATTGGGATAATTATCGTTGTTCAATCTGACTTGAACTTTGCGAATGATGGGATCTTGAGTATGGTTCAATGCCACTCTGAAAATGTTGTTGTTGTTTGTCTGAGAGTCTGGCAAGTTTTTGAAACCGACCATTAGATATCTCGCTGGTTTGACGGTGTTGGTGATTGGCCACGTGGTGATTCTCCCGTTAAAGTCATGCTACCTACCGTG